GAGCGTAGAAGAAATGGGATTGGAAGGTGAAAACTGGGTGCGGCAACACCTTCTGGATTCTTTTACCAAAATTATTGGCGCCAGCTTAATGACTGAGACAATTCCGTCGCAGACCCTGTCTGATAAAGCATCGTTAAATAAATCAAACGATGCTGGTTTACATGTCACATGACTAAAGCTTTCCACATCATTATTTTCAACTGATTAAGTCCAAGGCAAACTTGTCTATTATCGGGACGACGTAATATTTTTTCCACGTACGTGGCCACCGCAAATTCGCTTCTTGTAGAACGCGGAAGAAATCACATTAGTTCATCCATGAGCATTGACATGACAAATTGCCTGGTTCGTAAATATTGTTATGGCACATTTGTTGGCTTACGAATATTTCCACGGCAAATTAATTCTTCATAAATGTTACCACGGCAAATTTGTTTAAATACGAATGCTGCCAAAGCAAATTTCCTGGTTAGTGCACGAGTGGTGCCGTCGTTTTACTGCTCATGAACTAAGCTACGACTGTCCTCTTTTCTATTCGTAAGGCCAACTCCCTTAATTTCTATTATTCTTCGGTATTTAGCTGCGAGCGTAGCATCCCGCAGATACAATGCGCTAACTCAGGCGAACCCTTCGCCATTAGTACTAAAATCATTAGAAAAAGGCTAGCAGGGATGGGAAAAAGCAAATCAGTAGGGCCTGACAGCATTTCTGGGGAAATTCTAAAACTGGGTGGGGAAGCCATGATTCCATACCTGGCGCGATTATTGGACGTAACAATTAATAATGCCACTATACCAAGGGACTGGAAAAAAGCCATAGTGGTTCCTATTTACAAAGGAGGTGATCGATCATTGGTCACAAATTACAGACCGGTCAGTTTAACATCGGTGGTCTGCAAACAAATGGAACACGTTATAGCATCGTACCTGAGGAAAAACTGGGAGGAAAAGAATTGGTTATTCGAGGGTCAACATGGGTTCAGGCCGGGATATTCATGTGAAAGTCAAGTAATCACGGTTTGTCAGGACATTGCAGACACACTGGATAACGGAGGAAGGTTAGACGCGATTATAATCGATTTTTCGAAGGCCTTCGATTTAGTTCCTCACGATCGGCTGCTTATGAAAATCGCGGCATCGGGCGTGGACTCGAGGATAGTCGTATGGATAAGAGAATTTCTTTTAGGCCGAACGCAGAGAGTTAGAGTAGGAGGGCAATTATCAGAGGAAGTCAGAGTAACATCAGGAGTACCGCAAGGGAGTGTATTGGGTCCACTTCTATTCCTCGCGTACGTAAATGATATTTGGAGGAACATTGAATCGACTATTAGACTTTTTGCAGATGACTGTATAATATATAGGAAAATTATAAATAGTAAAGATATAGAAAAGATGCAGATGGATCTAAACAGTCTGGGGGAATGGGCGGCTGAATATGTTATGAAAATTAACCCAAGTAAAAGTAAGGCAGTTAGTTTCACGAGAAGTCGGGTGAAGGAACCACTAAACTATTCGTTACGGGACCAAATAATTCCGGAAGTGAGCAGTTGTAAATACTTGGGAATTATCTTAAGCAGCGATTTAAGCTGGGCTGATCAAGTAAATTATACGGTGAAAAAAGCCTGGAAGGCACTTCATTTTACAATGCGTGTTCTCAAAAAGGGGAATAGTAACACTAAAAGTCTAGCCTACACATCACTAGTGCGTCCGATTCTGGAATATGGGGCGGCGTGCTGGGATCCTTACAGGGAGGGGCAGATAAATGCGTTAGAACGGGTGCAAAGGAAAGCATGTAAATTTGCATATCACAGGAGCGATTCGAACTGGGAAACCCTGGCACAGCGTAGAAAGATAGCACGAATATGTGCTCTCTTCAAGGCGTACACGGGAGATCGGGCATGGAAAGCTATAGGTGTCAGATTGCAAAGGCCATACTACCTGAGCAGAGTCGATCATATTCGGAAAGTTAGGAGCAGAAAACAAAGAACAGATATCGGAAAATATTCCTTTGTAAATAGGACCATCCAACTCTGGAACCAGCTACCTGCTGAGGTTTTAGGGACTCTCTCCTGTAAACCAAGTACGTTTAGGAAGAAGGTTAGGAAAGTGATAAATGAGGTGAAGTAAAGGGAATAGATGGGTGGGTGCAGTGAAGGGGGGTAAATTGGGGTGAGGATGGGAAGGCTTCATAAGTGTAGTGAAGTGTAGAGAAGGCCCTGATGAAATGTGAGTGCATCAGTTCATGACGTATGTAATTCATTTCTGTTACTATCTTATGTCTAGTTGAATTTTTAAGTTATGTACTTTAGGTTATACAGTTTTGTAATATTATGAGTTGTTTTATTTTGAGTGTGGTGTGTTGTTTTGTTGTGTCTTATTGTTCTTGTTGTGCCTTATGTTTTTTGTGTCTCATTGTTTTCTTGTCTTATTGTTTTTGTTGTGTCTTATGTCTTTTTGTCTTACTGTTTTGTTGTGTCTCATTGTTCTGTTGTTTCTTATTGTTATTGTTTGTGTTGTCTTATGTTTTTTGTGTTATTGTTTTGTTCTGTTTCATTGTTCTGTTGTTATTATTTTTGTTGTCTTATGTTTTTTTGTGTCTTATTGTTTTGTTCTGTCTCATTGTTCTGTTGTTTCTTATTGTTTTTTATGTTTTGTTGTGTCTTATTGTAGGACCACTGCCACCGGGTAAAAACCCATTTGCAGTCAAATAAATAATAATAATAATAATAATAATAATAATTATGGCTACAGCAAATGTCCGTCTTGAAAACCGTCATACTTTGAGCCTTCGTTGTCTGGTTTTTGAGCATTTGGGTTACTTCCCTCAAATCAAATTCATCCCTGCAGTATGTGAACACTTCGGATGTCCATGTTACATTGCTTCGGACGTGGCCCTGAAATGAGCGTTATGCAGATCAGGAAGAAAGGCAGCTACAGACCACGGTAGGTCTAAAGTGGGACGAAGACAGTTCCGCGCGTACAGTCGAGCTGTTTACAAGGGAGACCTGCTTGCTACCTGTTAGAATGAAGAGTGTTGTTGGCACACTACTTGCTGTGGCTTTCGTCATCACCAGCACAAAGTCATCCCCGGTGCAAAACTGTTCCGGTAAGTAGAACCCCGTAAGTAGAATCCGATTTTAGGATCTCGCCAACCTCCCCTTTAAATTAAATTAGCGAGATAAAAGTGGAGTTCGTATATTTAATCTCAGGCGCTTCTCAACATATTTTGATTACAATTGGAACTCAGTGTCTACAATCATATCGATCGAAAACCACCAAACTTCGTATCAATTTCAAATAGAAACTTCATACGTTTCACACGTTTATCCTTTATCCTTTATCAGATGTGTAAAACTCGTTTTAATGTGAAACTCACGGTTCACAAGAAGTATGTGGCCCGCCACACGCCTACAAACTATACTGATATTATTAATTATTTAAATACCGTTCTTTATCCAAAAAAATTAAATAAATAGAGTGTAAGAATATATCATTGCAATAATATGCCGGTACTGTAGTTCTGCTGATAAATTTGGTCCTCCCAACTAAAACATAATATAAACATGTATTCAATAAAATACAGATGAATTATTATTATTAACTGGCTTGCCTACAGGACAGGCTAAAATGAGTTTTCAGTTCTCGTCGCGTAATAAAGTTTGCACCAATTTCGAAAGTCGCTTATAACTGCCGTCAGTTATAAGTTAAGTACATACGTTACCATATCACCAAAATAGATTCACCTTCTTGCATGTTGCTATACATTTACCGGATAATAACATCCTTGATTTAATTGTCTTCAAAATGCATTACTCTGGTAGTTTACCAACGTTTCAGAGGTCCTTGCTACTTCCATCATCATGGCTATAAAGACCTTCGAAACTTCGGTAAACTTCTACCAGACTATACGGCGCTACAACCCAGAAGACGGACATCTTCGTACTCGCCGCCATGAGAATCTCAAATCCTACCTCTTACGTGGTTTGGAACCATCCTGAACAACTCTGCCTTCTACATCACGAGATGGCCAGTGAAAGTCACGTTGAAACCAAGGTTGCGAAAGCATTAGATCAAACTAGACCAGGCTGACTTTGGAACTCGGATATAGAAGGCAGATAGAAAGCACGCACGAGATCTTCTACAACTTCAGTACCCTGAGGACGAGGACGAAGATGGTTCTCGAAATGTTGGTGTTGTCTCCATTAAAACCACCTGACACGACTGGTAGCCCAAGAAGAATTCATTATACCCCAACAGATTAATCCCAGTTGAACCGACGGTTTCTATAACGCGATTTTTCCACAACGCTGTATCTTCTAGAAACGCAACTATCGCGCTCTAGGTGAAAAAAGCCGTATTTGAATAAAGTGTTTAGAAACCTTTTCTGTTCTCACACATGTGAACTGATAGGGCCGGCCGCCAAGTCGGTCCAACGAAAGTCACTGCTACTGAGAACGAGTTCACGGCTGTGACTAAAATATGTTTGTTGCCTAGCAACTCAGGCACAGCAAGGAGTGAAGGTTACTGAACTTCATGTAACAGTACTCACAGATATGGACAAAATTCCAATCACTCAACCTCAGCTCCACACTGCGTGATTCACATGTGCGAGTACACTGATAATCATGACGATTAATGATCCTTACGATGATGATAATAACTAAAGCGTAGAATTTTATATTCTTACGTCAATGTGAGTTCAGTCTCCCGTATTTTGGGTTGCTTCTCCGTGTAGTCTTGTGAATGTATACCGACGTTTCGGACGATCAGAATCTGAACAGCGATGCCTCGATACTGGACTTTCTCTTTTATTTTAATATTTTCCTCCGGTCTTTCATTATTTCTACTTTTTTCTCTACCTTTCTTTGTCTTTACCCTGTTCTCATCTTTTTCCCATTCTTTGTCTCTTTAAACTCCTCTCCATTTTTCATGTGTAGCTGTCACAGATAAATCTACGTTACGTCTCTCATCAGACTCCCAAGATAGCATTATTAGCTCAAAGCGAGCTGACCTCACAGCAGGTACCAATACTTACACATCTTCCAACACGATACCGTACATTGTAATTCATGAAACAGAGCTAAATCCTGGAATATTAAGTATTTCCGGCGATATGATATAGATAGTGGCCTTGTAGGTTGTAGTACTCTGAAGATGAAGGCAACACATTGCTCCGAAAGTTGGTATACAACCAATGACCCAGAAGACGAGCGTCTAAAACCGAAATATTTGTGAACAAGAAACACAATTTCACGAAAGTAGAATTCTACTCTTCCCACAACATTAATTAAATCTGAACAGTCAGCTTCACGCTTGGTTGAGGCAGTTCAGCAGTGGCAGCCATCAAAACAAAGCATCGTTCTACGATGAACCTAGAAAATCGACCTTAGAGCGGTCATTTCAAAACTCCAACCTCGGTATGATAAGTTACGTTCACAGAAGTAACCGCATCCATCCCACTAATCCAGTTATGAAGCGTATATTTTATTACAATTTTTTAAAATTAAATGCATTGAATAATATATACTAAATTACAAAAAAAAATGTATACTCATAGCTAAATTTTATGTCAAATCTGTTTGCTTGCACTTGTTCTGGAAAGGGGGGGGGTCAAATTTATGAAATATTTTAACAAAACAAAGCATCGTTCTACGATGAACCTAGAAAATCGACCTTAGAGCGGTCATTTCAAAACTCCAACCTCGGTATGATAAGTTACGTTCACAGAAGTAACCGCATCCATCCCACTAATCCAGTTATGAAGCGTATATTTTATTACAATTTTTTAAAATTAAATGCATTGAATAATATATACTAAATTACAAAAAAAAATGTATACTCATAGCTAAATTTTATGTCAAATCTGTTTGCTTGCACTTGTTCTGGAAGGGGGGGGGGTCAAATTTATGAAATATTTTAACGGGGGCGCAAGGTATAAAATTTTGGGAACCTCTGCTCTAGAACATTAGTGACGAAACGGGAACAAGGCATTATTATTCCCTGTCACTTTGGCTCTTTGTTGGAGATAATGGCGTAGGGAAATTCCGCGAACACATTGCAAGAGTGCTAAGTCCACATCGTGCTCAACAAAACTAGTGTCACAGTGTCTAAGCACTTGTGCATTTCTTTGTTGAAAGCAGTCGACTGTTGGACCCACTTTCATACACGAGTAGTTTCCTACATACAACCAGTCGTCGGGTTTTCTACAGTCATTAGGCCAGCTGCGACAGGGACGTACAAAGTATGCCAAACGGAACGCAAAGCACACAGACAAACCGAATGGACGTCTTAAGTCTAACTGGCTGAACTGGGATTTGAACGCTCGTGGTCATATTATCATGCGAAAATCGACAAGAACTGGACAAATCAGTCGAATTCAGTCCATCGTGATGTATTGGGTTGTGACTCCCAGTAATCTTAAAGGTAGCTGCCAAAGTTTCGGATAAACATATCGCATACATCTTCATGGTACCTTCAATCGTGCAGATGGCATCTGAAATAGACGTTACTGTGCAAATGTATTTATTAGATACGAATATTGTTCTGAAAATTATTTTATTGACAAATTTTGAAATTTTCTTCGTACACGAAACCGAGTGTAATGTGGAAAGTACAGCGATTTTCATATTGTTTTCTAAGGCAGCATAATAAGCTGTTAACCTGTTTTCCTTTCTTTAACGTATCAGTATGTGAAATCAAACTTTAAAGTCCCATAATCAGCGTCCTTTATAAAGTGGACTGACAAGTTTTTCGTTCTCAGCCATTTTAAATCTGGTTATTACATGCAAAACCTAAAACCAAAACAAAAATAATTTAAAACCTCTACTCATAAACAAAACTGTGGAAATATGTCGGATTTGGCGCATTAAAATTTAAAAAAAAACTTCATTTATCTCCGTTCCTGTCCTTGTTCATCAGAATGCTGGTGAAGTATCTTAAGATAAGTCACAATCACATTTACTCGCATGTGATCACGATGTAGTTCCTGTGTCTTTTTGTTTCAGGCGGGCTTCAGGAACATCCCGACAACTACAAAATCAGCGACTGCGAGAGGGCCCCGTGTAGACTGCGTAAGAATTCAAACATTGAATTGGAGTTCAAATTCACGTCAGGTAACAGAACACTCCTCTCTATAAGTGGAACAGACTACGGCTTGTCTGTTTTAGGTAGAACTCACGCACAAAAGTTGCAAAACGATATGTAGCACACATAACGGCTCAGGCATACCCGCATAATTTCACTTCTACTGTCTACTCACAGAGACGAGGCATTGGATGTAAATATACGAAAGTTTGTATCATCGTGCGATTCACGGGTTCCATTGATACTTTAACCCTCTGATCACGTTACTGGCGAGTGTTTAACTGCTGGATAGCTCACATTCTACATGGGAAAGATAAGTTACAAATGTGTACCTTCAACTTAAGGGGATGAGTCACGAAAACCTAAGTACAAGAATAAATTATGAAGTTCTTCACGCCAGTTCCTTCATTCACTTGTTTTTTCCTGTGTCACTATACCAACTAAACCCCCCAGAAACCAGTTATGAAGGACAGTAAGTAACTACTTTCACCTGATAGTGAGTTTGTAAGTTGCTTTAAAACAAAGCAAAGAATTTTCGTTACGAATCTGGTCAAATGTTGGGTTAGCGGCCAATTATAAGATTACGAGGACATCCTTTCACTTCTTTCTGTTTGCATCATGATGGCGTTCATGTGTTCACGTGTGAACTCGACCCTCACCCCATTATTGCAGATGTGGATGCGCCATCTCTGAAGAACAACGTGTACGCCAAGATTGTGGGCATTCCATTCCCATTCATCGGCGTCGATGGAACCGACGCCTGTCCTCAGATCTATCTTCCAGACGGCAGCAAAGCCGGGTGTCCCCTGAAGGCCGGCCAGGATTACGTGTACAAGAATAGCTTCAAAGTTCTTGAAATATACCCGAAGGTAAGTCTGCGCTGATGAGATTACATGCCGCTTAATAAAATGACACTGCATATGTGTAGTGGTGTCAATGTTGGTTTTCTGCCGCCATCTTCAGCCTTGAAGATGATGGCAGAACGCCCACTGGAAACGTTGGTGTATACCTACAATTCCACACGACGTATCAATCTAGTCCATATTCAATGTCCTGTCTAAGAACATTTTAATATTGTCCTCGTTGCTACGCTTAGAAACCAAAAGTTTCTTGTTCCCTCAACATTTCCTTCAGTATGTACTTTTCTCCAGTCCAATAACTTACAGAACTAGGACGAAAACCTCGCTTACTAGAAACCTGTTCAGACGAACAGAAGAAAGCAGTGACGTACCACGTGACACGACTTTATACGAGTAATTACACAGACGACATCTTCTCCATGTTCATTCAAATGTCACTTATGAATCTTACGTATCTGTATAACCTTGACATCTTCCTTCTTCAAAACAATTGCACCGCCAACAGTTCAACGTAACAAATAAATTTCCGTTCTTACCGGTTCAGAGGGACATTTCATCACAGTGTATAGTAAAACTGAACGGTAAAAAAACTAAAGAAATGTCTTCTTTACTTCTTCATACTGTATAAAAGCAATTTGTAGCTTAAGTGCGTCATGTTTGTGTTGAAATCAAATATATATTTATTATCACAGTCTATACACAAACGTATTTAAAATGTTGTTGTTAAAATTTATATAACACTATAACACCTGTAGTATAAAATATTACAATAAGTTATATTATGTTAGGTTATACAGACATGCAGAGCATTATGAAGACAGAAAAATCTACAAATATACCTATAAATCAATAAATGCATTGCATCGAAATATATAATAGTTTTAAAATGATAAAAATGACGATATAAACCTGAAGATGATGTCATAAAACATCGAAACATGTCGTGCAATTAATAATAAGCGCCATAATAAATGTAACATCATACTACGATAAAAGCGCCATAATATAACATAATATAACTTATTGTAATATTTTATACTACAGATGTTATAGTGTTATATAAATTTTAACAACAACATTTTAAATACGTTTGTGTATAGACTGTGATAATAAATATATATTTGTATAAAAGCAGTTTAAATAAAAATAATTTCAGCACGCATTAATTCGATTTCTTCGCTCTTTACAGTTAAAAGTCTTGGTCCACTGGGCACTGACTGCTCCTGGAAATAAGGACTTACTATGCTTCAACGTTCCTGCTAGGATCACGTCATAATCAGGTTAACTTCGCCGCCTATGACGTGTCAGTGTGAAACTCACGACATCCCCATATTATTAAAGTGAAGAAGCCTTGAAGACCCCTTTCCCGCCTGTTTACTTTTATTATATATTGCTGTTTTCGACTTAGACCTTTCAAGTTGTCGTCATGTTTGGTTCGGCATTCGCTAAAATCATTTCTTTTAATGTAAGGCTCAGTCCGACAATCTCAAAACGCAAAGATGTTATGCCATGTAGTCTGGTGCTTACTGCCCCAGCAACACTAAAATCATGAGAGTATACACCTCTGAAACGTCGGTTAGTTTCCACCAGACTACAGGCAACATCCTGTAAGACAGTTATCTTCATACTCACCGCTGTGAGAACCTGATATTTCACTATTTGAAAACATGGCAGTGTCTTCATATTGCATAAGTGGACGTCATGGAGTCATCAGTCAGTGGCCGAGATTTGAAAAATCACACTGCAGTGTTGTGTCTGAAGGAGACTGACTTTTGTTTTAATTCAAAAACAAACGTGAAGCCCTGGAGTGTATTCATGTCATCATACATGCAGTCTTGAAGGGATTATATTGTTGTCGTAACTTCCGCAAAACACAGCAAACTAGTCTCTGAAGTGGCGTACAATGTCGTTTGAAATAAAAAATTAAGTTCACTTATTAGAGTTGTACAATTCATTGTTGCTATAAAAACAAGTTTGCTTTGAGAAAAGATTCGAATTACTTCCAGTCGAGATAGGATTTTCCCAATAATGTGAGTTCCATTTCGGCTTACAAACTGTTTCTATCTTCGCAAAGGCATTATAATTAATTTCAGTTAAGGATTTATCCTTATGGGCTATTGTAAACATTATTCTTAATAATATTAGTGAATGGAAGTATACATGAATTTTTTTTTAAATACGTGCTTATTCATTAGCTGCAAATAACAACTGTAAATTGCCGAAAGGTTACACAAACTTTGTTATGAAACGAATTACTAAATTGACATTACAAAATTCAAGTCGATGCAGCCAATAGTCTCGATTTGACAAATGTAAAAACTGTATGTAAGACTTGAGGTTCTCACAGCGGTGAGTATGAAGATTTCTGTCTTCTGGGTTGTTGCGCTGTGTAATCTGGTCGATGTTTACCAACGTTTCAGAGGTCATACTGCCTCCGTCATCAGGGCGATTAAAAATATGAAGATTTCTGTCTTCTGGGTTGTTGCGCTGTGCAGTCTGGTCGATGTTAACCAACGTTTCAGAGGTCATACTACAGTATGACCTCTGAAACCCAGAAGACGGATATCTAAAAACTGTATCATTGGCTACATAAAATTGTGTACAAACTACAATAAAATTTACATGCAGTAACTGAAATAAATGTATATTTTCCATTGTAACTAAGTAAGTGTTTTACGTTCACCTGTAATCCTTCCTCCAATTACTAGACTACATTTTTATTTTTAAATAAAATTTGTTTTAATTTCTTCTCATTCCGCTAATTCCTTACCAAAAACATGACATTTTAAACGAGGTCTCAATTTTCAACGCATTTGATTTTGTGGAGCGTTTTGAAACGCAGTTCAACACCAAACCTCTTATATTGGATCGGCTGATCTCAAGCAGACCTACTTAACAACGCCAAAAAATGTTGCAATACGTTAGATTCACCTTGCTGGACAGAACAAAATTAGAAACATTCAATCACCCATTCGGTAATGTTTAAAAAAAATAATTAGCAAGTTTGGACCGGACTCAGATGTTTACCTTGCAAAAATGTGCGTTTTAAAGGTACAACTTCAAGCTCAAGGATCAAAAGATAAAAGTAACCAGTTTCCAGAAAGTGTGGCACATGTGCGACAGACTGACATTCGTTAATTTTTATAAAGCAGTGATACTATTGAAACAATATTAGCGCTGACTCTCAGTCTTAGGCTATCTAGAGTATTTTTCTGCCAGTTTTTCGATAGTTGATTGGACTACCTATAACCAAGGTCAGCTTATACTTAAATTGGACAGCTTAACACAAAAACGACCCAATGCTTTCTCCATCTGCTGTGCCTCAGGCAGTGGTTGAAGATCACAAAGAGGACACAATCTTGAAACGACCTTCAAAAGATGTCATTCAACAGATTATCAACTCTTGCCGTCATGTTCATAACGAGGTGGACCAATTAATAGGATTTTGCGTTGGGTCTCCCAGGGATATCAAAACAGCAATGTATCCGTACGGGCAACCAAGACACCATGATCTGCCACTCTTAACGTAAGTGTGAGTATACACTTCTTTATCAAGAATATTTCTTCTTCTAAACAAGAACGATGGAAAAAGTCCAGACAGTGAATAATTTTAAGACCAGATTCACAAACAATCCCTAAAAATATAAACCTGAAGTAAAATGTACAATTCTAAGACCTAGTAAGAGATTAAAGTGACATACATAGTTGCTTCTAAATGTGTAGTAAAGCTCTTACCTTTAAAAAAAAAAGATAAGAAAATTAAAAGTTTACTACTGTGAAAACATGTCATATTCCATACCTGACAATATAATGTATTATGACAGTCTTAAGGAAAAACTACATATTACCTCTGAAAGACTAAATTCTAAAACACTATATTCAATAGGGTTTACTTGTCTTTCATTCATTTCTTGCCATCTATGCCTTTCGAAACTTTATCTCCTTAGAATTACGTCTAAAATATGTTGGGTTACAAAGTGTTTGCTTGCTTTGTCATCCCAGCGCGCTGAGAGTAACTTCAGTGATCGTGTTGAGCCCCTACACTCTCTATAGGACAGCACGTTTCATCTGTCTCCAGACAGGAAAAACGCAGTCGCCCCTAACAGTGTAAAACAGAAGTTGTTTTTCCTCAGGGAGATACCGTCTCGACCAGTAATGGACGAAGTGGCCCTACAACAGCGTTTTCTCGTAGTTCTTCGGTTCGCTCTGCTAATCATCATTCCATCATCGCCCCACGAGGTGTTCGACAGCCCAGACCTAGCAGCCCATTATCATAACCTCGGTCCTAAGTTAGGGACATTGCCTTATTGTTGAACGCACACACGTTCCCTGGAGGATGACTGGCTCATTTCCAAGAAATCAGCTACTGGCGTCACGCACTAATCTTATTATAGCTATTCAGAAGGTAAACCAGAACATTACGATCAAAGTAAGACGTGGGTCTCTCTGGGTATGCAGTGCTAATGCTCATTACATAATTCGAAGAGATTGCTATTTTTAATTCGCAATAGATCGCCCTAGTCCTTGGGCCTGCAAGGATTTTATTCATTATTATTATTGTTAACTCCATGGAACAGAGTACAAGAAGTCGTTAGTCACTCAACTGGCCAAGGCATTTTCCACCTACAACAAACACAACCGGGAGATTCATTACCATGAACACAAGAGCCCACCTTAAAGTCCTATTTATTATTATTATTTAGTGTTCTGTTTGACGACAGGTCCATATGAACAGGATCCTTCCATCCTTTTCTCGGACTGGGACCTGTTCATATACGTTCTTGGCAGACGATCCAGAAGTGGTTTGCCATTGCCTTCTTCTGTG